CGAGTCTGTTGCCGGTTGTGGGAAGATCTGTGGTCTGACTTGTCTTAATGGTGGAAAATGACTTATTTTTGTAAATTTGATAAGTTACAAGGGCTTCAATTTCAATTTCCGTTACTTTAATATATTACAATTGAGTTCATGAGTTGAATTTGTAATTAATTAAACTATAATTAATATTTTAATATTTTCATTTAATATTTAATTATTTTTAATTTTTTGGCTGGAAAATAAATGTTATTTATACCTAAAAAAATTAGTATATTTGTAAATGCAATCTAATGTGCAATCTAACAGTTATTAAAGTGCAATTCGTCCAACACCATTGTGCATTGTGTCGGTTTGTACGGTGCAGATTGAACCAACTGACTTTTGTCCCAATCAAATTGAAAATGAACATGATTGGTTTGTTCGGTTTGGTTAACCGAACTATTCTTAAATTATCGAAATAATTTGTTATTTATATTAAAATTATATTTAATATATTAATAATTTTATTTATTATTTTTATATTATTTTGGTTGAAAAAAAATTAGTTCGGTTGGTTTCATTCTCAATTCGTGCGATCTTTTAGTCGTGATAAAGTGTAGGGTGTTATTTTATAAAATGCAATGTATTGTTGTATAAAATGCAACGTATTGATGTATAAAGTGCACTACTATAATTTTGGTATGTTAACATTGTGTTTTATGTGGAAAAATGATGTGATGGATGTTAAAATATTATGTACATCCATTATTTAGATTTATGTTGTGTGGTATTTTGGCGGTAATTATTAACGCTAATTTTGGCGGGATCGTTAATTGTGGGAATTATAAAGTAGCTCATTGTTTTATAAAGTGCAACATATCGTTTTATAAAGTGCAACGTGTTGTTTTATAGAGTGCAACACGTTATTATATAAAGTGCACTAGTTTTTACGATCATGGATAAATTATGTGTATTCAAAAACTAGTTTTAATAGATATAATTGTATATCAAATTAACCTAAATACTTAAAATATTTTATTATTTATTATTATAAAGTATATTTAGTATTAAATTTATTTAATA